GGCTCACTGTAGGCACATGGGAAGAGGGTAGGAGAGCAAACCCATCTATCTCCTTGCAGAGCCTCTGAAAAACTCCTGCTCCATCGCAGACATCCAGCAGCGGGGGAATGTCCTGGACCGTGGACACCTTGTGGTGGGGCAGCGCTGGTGGCTGTCATGCACGTGGGCTCAGAGGAGGATCCCAGCCAGCTCAGGGCTCAAGGACTGAGGTCTTTTGAAGGAGCCAGGCACAAATTCATGCAGCCCTTGGATGCATGGTTCCAGAGAGATGATTTTTCTTGACTCTCTGCAAATGATCTGGTTAGAAACCAACACGCATCTTCTCCCAGACTTGTCCCCATGCCTCTTTCAAGCCACCAAAAGGCCTGAAATCCTCATGATATTGGCATGCTGCAGGGTTAGTCTCAGGCCTGGGAAGGGGAGGACGAGGAGGCTGGGCAGGGAGCAGGCTTTTACCTGAGACAACAGCGCGTTGGGTTCCTGACCTTGGCGTCCATCCATCAGAGCAAGGGCAGGGGGAGGCCGCCAGGTCAGCTGGCTCCGCTCTGCCCCACCATACATCCATTTACACACAGGCTACTGGGTAGAATGGTGGGGACCAGACAAGGACACACTGGGGCTTTTGATGGGAAAAAAAGTGAGTGGCCGAGAGGAGCTTTAAGGATGCATTGACCCCGAGTGGAAACTCGGGTGAAAAATGACTGCTCCCATCCTCCTGCTCAGAGCATCTTTTTTTCCTTTACTGCCATTTATTTTGCTTATGCAATCAGATGCTAATGCTTTGGCGTGCAGCGGAGTCGCTTGCATTTTAAGGTCAAAATCCCTAAAGTTTGTAAATTGTAGTCCTTTAAAAAGATCAGATGTGTAGAAATAGTTTATACATGCGGAGCCTGGTGAGAGCAGAGTGGGAATTTGGCTGGGAGATGAACTTGGCGATCTTGGCCTCTTTGTCCGTTTGCTGGCTGGTTTTCTCCCAGGCTCCACGTCTGTGCAACTCCCAGCACAAGTGGGGTGGTGGGGTTTGGGCAGATCCCCCTTAGCATAAAACCTATATAGGGATGCAGCGCTGGCTCTTGGCAATGTCAGGGTTGTCGTTATCCTCTTGTCTTTCTGAAGTCCCGTCCCCAGGGATGTCAGGGAGCTGGAGGAAAAATAGAGGTCTGGTTTTTGAGAAGCCTCCGGGGTCTCAAACAGAGCCCCCAGATCCCTCCTTGCTTTGGAAAGCTGCAGCCAGATGAATAGCTGTCCCTCTCTGCCTTCCCACCGTGCAAGGCAAATTACTTATCTCTGCTCTACAGATGCTAGAGATGCTGGTGACATAATTTTCCAGAGCGACTGCAACTCCTGTTAGTATTTAAAAATCAAACCATAACACCCTGCCTGGTCTCCCAGGAGGAAAATCAAATGCAGTTCCCTGTCAGTGCAGCGGCAGCAAGAGGAGGACATGGCATCTCGGCAGCAAAGTGCACGTGGCAGCCGTGTGATGAGGCTTTAATGGGCGTCATAAAAACGATGCAGCAAACCGAGTCTGGGATGCAACGCCGTGGTCGCCTGGCCCCTGCTGCTGCGCTTGCTTTTCGGATTAAAACGCTGAAGTTTCTCAACTGAGCTTAGGTGTAACAGCTGGGTTTAGTGCTGGCTAATGCTTCTGCCCGTACATTTCTTCAGAGCCTGTGTGTGTGCACGCATGCATGCGTGTGTGTACTTTGTGGACAGCAGGAGGTACACAAAAGGAGACATTTTATTTGTGCAAGATTTGATTAAAATCTTGGAAACAGGTTTCAGATGGCAGTGAAAGCTGAAACCGGGGGAGCTAAGCCTGGGTTGCTTTTGTTACTGCAATTCTGCTTGGCTCTGACCTTTAAGCATCCCAAACTGAAGGCAGAGGACTTGTTTGTGGGTGCTGGAGGACATCTCCAGGGCTCGGTTCTCCTCCCTGGGAAGTAACTCCCCTGCACCCAGCAAAGTTGCATCGGGGAGAGCCGGGTAAAACCCATCGTGCTCCCTGGACACTCAGGGTTTAACAAAGAAAATGCTCTTTAGGTAAATTCAGTATCTCAAAACCAGCAGAGGCAGAATTTAGATTAAAAACTGTCCGGTCCCCCCCCGCCTCTTTCAGATCACACGGCTGAGACTTGTCCACAAACACGTATGCAGAGCTTTACAAACACATTTAGTTTTACACGTGTGAGCTTTTCTATAGATGTGGGACACTGCTGACTAAAATAAGGCTTCTGCAAGCGTTAGCAGGCTTGGGGCTTTTTGGCTGTTTTGTCTTCTGAAGAAATTTTAACTGGTAGCTACGGTCTAACAGGAAAAAAAGTAGATGATGTTTCAATCCTAAATCTGCCAAGTACAACGTATTATGAAGGAGAAGCCTTGAAATGCACATTTTGGTTTATTTTGGTGTTTAAATAGAAACCCTCCTCTGGCGCTTTGCTTTTACATTTTTTTTTAAAATTTGAAAATAGACTGTTTGCTTCTCCGATGACCTCTCCCTGGGAATCACTTTTAAGTCTTCCCTGTTTTGACATGTTGTTTGTGCAGAGCTCAGCATTCACCTTACTAAACCAAAACCTTATCCCCCGCTACTGAAAAATTGATTCGCTGGGTATGTGCAAACCCAACTCCACGAATCCGGCGGGAGAAACGAGGGGGATCGGCGATAGGTACTCGCTCGTATTGCAGAGATAAAAATACAATTTTGTACGCACCTCACCTTGCCCTGCTGCTCTTCGTGGCCTGCCTAAGGAGGTCATCTCTGCACAGGTTTTTGCGAGTGATTCAGTGTAAAAATTGGGGTTAGAAATGGTTTTTTTAGCCTAAGCCTGACTCATCTTCCCATAGCACCCGGGAGCAGTGAACTGCCGTTTAACCAGCCGGCGGAGGGGAGTGGATTCCTGGGTGGTCCCTGTAACCACAGAGCACAGAAAGCAAAGCATTAAAATGTAACATGAGGATGAAGGGAAAGGGGCACTGAACCACTTTCTCCCAGTGTTATCTCAAAGCAGCAGATGGAGAACAGAGATAGCGAGGGTGGCTGCTCATTTTTCCGTGCCCTCTCCAGCCAAATCCAGTAAATAATGAAGTGTAATTTGCCAAATAGCCTTTGAATGTATTATTTGCTTTCGAAGGTCCTGATGCTTCTGCTGTGGCAGGGAATCCTTGATTTATGTGGTGGGGTTAGGGGGAGGAATTGGGCCCCGAGAGGCTCGGTGTCGGGGGTTTTACTAGTCCTACCTGAGCAGAGAGTCGTGCAAATCATTACATGAGTGCTTTGGTGACTAACGTTAGAGGGAGCTGCAAATAGAGGGGGTGATTTTGCATGTCTTTTACTTGGGGACGATAGGCCAAAGGTGCAAAGACGGAGACAGAAAAGTGGTTCTGTTTGGTTTGGCGGTGGAGTTGCGTGTGGTGCGTCCAGCTGGTGATTTGGGGATGCTTTGCAGCGTGGTCAACCTCACCCTGTGCTGCAGAGCTGCACCACGAGAGCTTATTGCCCAACCCCCAGATTCCCACTTGCAAAAAAACCCCAACATTGCGTTGTTTGGACTTTAAATGATGCCTGTGAGTTTGGCTGTGGAGGACCTGAGTGGAACAGGAGCCCCAGACTGGGTCAGACTGGAAAGCAGCGTTGTTGCACCGGGCTGCCTGTGCTCAGTAGCTGCAGCGCTGTCTCCAGCCCTGACTCACCGTTGCGTTAGGGATGCACTCAACGCTGCTTGAAACAAGCACTCGCCAGCGTTTTGCAGGTGTCGTGGCTTATTAAATCAGACCTTAAATTAACTTAGAGGGATGCTAAGCCGAGGTGGATGGGATTTCCACAAAACAGAGAATTCCTTGACTTTTGATGTCTACACCCAGACATTCACGAAAACACCAAAGGAGCTTGCGCGCGTTGTCATTTTTCCACTGAGAACAGTTTTCATTGAAAAATTTCCAGTAGGCTACAGTGCTAAACCGGCCTCAGGTGGAAGATTTACACATGAGACCGATAAAGTTCAGTCGTTTGAGACGGTGGTTGCATGAGGCTTTCCTTCTCTGTGAAAGACGTTTTTCAGGAATGCTTAAATTATATGAAAAAGAGCCAAACCTTTATTCAGATCAAGGAGGTTTTGTTTTTTTCAAACGGTTGCTTTTGTTTATGAAACTCTTCGGCTACCAATATCCGCGCCCTTCCAAATAAATTAGAAAAAGAAAAAAAAAAAAAGAGCTTTGCTTCTCATCAGGACTTACTCCAAGGCCCGGCTCTTGGCTTGGCCCCGCGCTCTCCCATGGGGGCGGCTGAGCATTGTTCAGTGACTCACCCCGAATCGCGTCGCTCCGTGCTACGGGCTGCGCATGATGTAACTCTGTGCTAACGTGGGATTTTCCAGCTCTTTGTTTTCCCTCCCTCCTCGAATGGGTTTTCTGCTGGTTCTTCGTCAACTTACTTTTTCCAGGATTGCCCATGATTGTTTAAAAATGTTTTTTTACCCTTGCTTTTCTTTCAACCGGGATGCCCAGAGGTGGAGCGGTAATTCAGAGACGCTTTTCTCCCTGCTTTCTTGTTCGCCCTGGTGTGGGACGAACATTTTTTTACCTTCATTGGTGTCTGGAGCTGCTCAGCTATCTCCCAGGCTCCAGACACCACGTGGGGTGATGAAGCCCAGCAGGCTGATGGCTGAAAAGGTCTTTGATATCACTGTCAAATTTCCAGTAGCTCATTCATGGTTGGCTTGTAGGGAGACCATGTGCACCATGTAACCTGGCTTACCAGACGTGGCTTGTTTATGCCCTTTAAGTATTCAGTATTAAGTATTTAAGATTCTTTTTCTTGTATTTAAGAAGCCTGCGCATGGACTTGCAGGGTTTAGGTGTAGGGCTAGAGGCTCTGGGTGTGAAAATTTCAGAAGAAAAAAAAGATTTCTCTGTTTTTCTGACAATTCAGTGGTCAGCATGACTCCTGTCATCTTTCCCAGTCCCATGTCCTCATGGCCATTTTTCTCTCCTCCTTTCAGATATGGAATGTGCGGATGTGCCTTTATTAACTCCCAGCAGCAAAGAAATGATGTCTCAGGCATTGAAAGCCACCTTCAGCGGCTTCGCAAAAGAGCAGCAGCGGCTGGGAATCCCCAAAGGTAAGACATGGCTTCCCAGTGAGCGGCCGTGGCAGACACAGAGATCGTGTCCTCCTGCCGGGCTGCCCTTCTCCACATCTGCCGCCTCTTTTGGTGATTCTCTTCAGGTAGTATGGCCTTGTTTCATGGCGGTTTCAGCTAGAAAAATCTGGACATACAGGCAAAACCTTTCAGTACCACTTGCAAACTACACCTGTCTGACAGATTGTGCCTGTCTGGCCTGCTAACTTCTGCTGGATGACTGCTCTTGCAGCTTTGGGGACCTGCTCCTTTTGGAGACAGCTCCAGGACTTCTATTTACAAGCCATCTCCACTATACGGAGAAGCAGCGGGGACCCTTTACAAGAGGCTGATGACAGCGAGAAACCAAGCAAAATGGAGAAATGGGTGGGAGACGGGATCAGAGAACTGGTGGGATTTTTAGAAGTCCCAAACAAATCCAGAGCTCGTTCCTTGTGTGAAATAGGGCTGATCCAAACTGTAGGTACTGTGTTCCCCCACCACATTTTACCCTTATGCCAATGGACTGTCTATGGGATGAAGCTCTGCAGGTGCTTATCTGCTGGGACAGCTGTTTGTGTCCTGTTTTCCTGGGGAAATGGCTTGTGGTTGCACCTTAATGGATCTCTTCTACAACCCCTTGTTGCAGATCCCCAGCAGTGGACAGAGACGCACGTGCGGGACTGGGTGATGTGGGCGGTGAACGAGTTTAGCCTGAAGGGAGTGGATTTCCAGAAGTTTTGCATGAATGGAGCTGCCCTCTGCGCCCTGGGCAAGGAGTGCTTCCTGGAGCTAGCGCCTGACTTTGTGGGAGATATCCTTTGGGAACATCTGGAGATCTTGCAGAAAGGTGAGTCCTGGAGTCTCCAGGGTGAATGGCTCACACCGTCCTGGCTAGCCTGATTTTGGGCCTTTCCAAAGACCTTGGCTCACAGTCTGGCTGTGCAATAATGAGGTGTTCACCTTAGGCTTTAATCCCAATAAAAGCAGCTTTCAAAGCCCAGCTTTCCAGTAGAATTTCAAACGGGCATCCCAATGGGTAGTGGGCAGTGCAAGTCCTGGCACTGCTTGAAAGAGGAAGGGTGTTTGCACTGGCCGCTTGGCAGGAATCCCCAGTGGGCAGGGACGCTCTGCCTGCCTGGAAACGATGGTGGGATTTTCCAAGGCATTCTTCCTCAGCTCGTTCAGCTCCCGTTGTGAATTTTACTACTTCCTCCGGTGGAACTGAGTACAACAATACCACCAAAATCCCACCCTAATTTCCCAGTTGCAAATGGAAGCTGCTTTGCTTTGTTTCACATCCCAAAAGGTGTAACAGCATTTTTGGGAGTGGCTGTTGTCCCCCCCCGCCCCAGGAGAAGCCATCTCTGCCAGTCCCTGCGTGACAGCATTTAAGGGCATTAATATTGATTGACTGGGGACACACACATTTATTTTTGGGTGTCGATTTTCATAGCATTTGGATGCCCAAGCAACACTTAATCTGGGATCGTTTCGGAAAAAAAAGAGCAGGTGAAGAGCTTAACACCTTCAACTGAGCCACAAGCAGGAGCAGCAGCAAATCTGGGCTTCTTCTCCAGCTCCTTTTTGTGCAGAGCTATTTGCTTTCCTGGAATATCCCTTGCGCTGTCATACCAACCCTGCGTGCTTGTCAGCGGGCCTGTACTGGTGGCAGGAAGGGGAGGGGGAGCAAAGTTATGCCTTCCAGGAAACCCTTGACAAATGGATGTTAATTGCTGATTACTAATTTTACTGCTACCTGTGGTTTGCAAAAGGTAAACACAGCTCTTCCCAGGGTCTGTGTATGACAGGCTGTTTTTCTGCTCTTTGACTCTATATCTGTTCTGCTCTTCTCGTTTTGCATAATTTTTATTGAGGGCTTATATCAACAGCGAGCAGTTTAACCAAACAAAGCAAAATGTTGTGGTCAGTCCAATTTCTCCTTGCTATAAGCCATCACTTGTAATGCAGCTCTGCCTTCCTGCATCCCTTCTTCATTTCTTTGGGCTGTAACCCACTGGAGAGGGGTGCAGTGTGCTGCAGGTACTGACTGAGGCATCAGAGCTGCGTTTGCAGCTCCTTCCTGCAGATTCCCCAAGGCATGGAGATGAACTTGGCGCTGTAGTTTCACAGCAAGGTAGGGATCGTGTTTCCTTATAGCATTGACACAGACACGGGTGTTCAGATGCTGCAGTCACGAGGATGCAAAGGTCTGAGCCAGAGAGGAGCTTTTACAAAGAAGCTGGAAATCTTTGTGCCTGTTGCAGCTTTTCTTCTGAAAGAATGAAAAAGAATAAAGCTGAATTTCTGTCTCAACACTGCTGGTGTAGCCCTGGGAACCAAGACGTCTCCCTTCTGTGTTCAGTTTTACTTTGTCACTTCTTGCATAAGTAATCTGAGCTTTAGCTTCTATGGTGCGTTCTTAAGACATTTCCCAGAAGGGCAATATCTCTGAAGTATTTGGAGAGTAACTAAGAAGAGCTTCCAAGAAGTAACCAGCCCAAGGACTAATTTCTGTTCCCTGCAAGTCATGGGACTCGTCTTACTGGTAGTACATCGCCAAAGCCCTGACAAGATCTGGGTTCTGATGAGCTGGTGCTGCACAAACGTGGCGTGCAAAATTCTCCCTGTCGTGTATCTCCCCACGCAAGAGGAGATGGCTGTCTCCGCTTTGCGGCTGGGGATGCGAAGCGTGAAGAGATCAAGCTGTCCCCAGGCTCACCCTTGGAGTCAGGGTCCAATTTGCCAGCCCCTGTCTCTTCCATCTTCCCCAGCCGCCCACCATCATCACTTGGGGCTGTTGATGCTGGGAGTGGTGGTTAACCCCAAAATGTTTGGCTTTACCTGTAGCGGTGCGACCGCTGGCGTCGGGTCACGCTGGGACAGGCTGTGACCTTGCTGTCCCTTCAGCTAACATGCCTCCCTTGTGAGCCCTTTCTGAGAGTGACTCATGTACCACAGGCTGCTCAGGGTTTAAAAACGGCAGCAGATGGGCGACTTTTCCCTGCATGGATTTGGGTATTTTCAGGCATATTTTTTCCAAATTTCTTCCTAAAATAGCTTCCTCAGTTACCAGCAGTCAGCAGTGCCCTCCACTTGACTGTAAGCATAGCTGAAGGTTGCTGTCTCTCTCTGTGGTCACCCACCCTGCCCCTTGGCAGACACCGTGGGGAGAGGAAAAGAGCGTTTCTCATTAAGTCTCTCTGTTTGCACAAAATCTCCTTTTGTTAGAGAATATTTTCCACCCTGCAATCCTCAGGAGAGAAGGCCAAAATTAGGCTCCTTGCAAGCGAACGTGCGTTATCTTCGGTTCGCTTCTCTTTAGCCTCAGCAGAAATAAACATAACCTGGAGTTGTCTGTGTGTTTTTTATTTTGGTTATCCTCTGCAAAGAAAATAAAATCTCCCATGCCGGTATCTCTGCCCACATGCCGTGCTGGAATGAGTAAGGTGTTAATGGAAAAACTGGTCAGGATAGGAGCAATGTGGCTTTTACATGGGAAAGCAAATTCAGCGCCAAGCCCAGGAGTACCAAAGTGCTCGGAAAAAGCAATGGAAAGCAGAGAATCTATGCTTTGATGTGATACGTGCTCTTTCTCAGTGAATTATGCCTACAGAAAGGCTAAAATTTTGCGTGCTGCCCATATATTGCACCATGGAATCTGTATCGGGAGTTGGGTGATGGGCAATGCCGCAACGCTTTTCTGAGCATGGGATCCTCTGCCTGCATCAGGTGTAAGGTAAAAGGTGCTGCGTAGGCTGGGAATTAGCATTAATTTGGGGTTGCAGGAGCTGGTTTTGGTATGCGTTACCCACTCACTTGCACACACCTACTGCTGCTCTAAAAATAGGGGCTTTTTGAGGAAAACAACTGTCCTTCTATGGTGGGGTTTTTTCATGAGCTCATACATGTAAGTGCGATAAGCAATCCTCAAGAGAATGAAAGACGACAAAAATTAAGGCAAGCAAGGAAATTATGCAATTAGTATTTCAGAACCACCTGGAGCCTCTGATTGAGAAAGTTGTTCCTGTTTTGTTTTGTTTTGTTTTGTTTAAATTTGAGCATGTCTGCTGCAAGAATTCCCAAAGGAACGCAAGTGCATCAAGCACTCATTATGGTGGGGTTTCAGCTCCTAACTCATTTCTGTTCCTTTGAACGTCCCAGTTTAACCCAGAGAAGAGCATTTTAGGAAGTTCAGACCTCTCCGTATTACAGCAAGTCTTGCGAAGCACGATATGCCGATGGACATGTGACATTTCCTTCCTTCTCTCTTTGCAGAAGAGGTAAAGCCATACCCAGCAAATGGAGTGAATACAACATATCCAGAATCCCGCTATACTTCAGACTACTTAATTAGTAAGTCTCAATTATCAGTATCATTCTGGTGCTTCCAGGCATGAAAGTGCCACCTATTAGAGGTTTGTCTGCATCACATGAGTACTGCACCGTGCAGTTGTTGCTCTGTCACGGCAGAGCATGCAAAGCGTGTAATTTTGTCTTTTCTAGTGGTTTGGGTTTCTTTAGAAGCCATCTTTATTTTGGAGGACTGCCTTGAGATGCCATAATCTGACTTTGCAAGCACTATTTGTTTGAAGCTGCAGCTCGGTAGACCTGAAAAACGACATCAACACCCCAGAATGTTAGGAATTTTTAAAAAATGTGTTAAAAAAGGGGAAGGCTTAATTCTGAATTGCTAGGTAGGAGCCTAGCAAGGAAAGAGATGAGTCATCGATCTAGACTCCCGCACTTGCCATTGCCATTGGTTTGGAGATGTTCTTTAAGGGCATTTGAAATCTGTGATGTATTTCACAAATGAGCAAAAAAACCCAACTCACCTGAACTGGGATTCCAGGCTCTGGCCAGCAAGGAGAGGTGACTGTGGAAGTGACTCATCTATTACAATCAGCAAGGAAGCTTCTTTGCCTTGTATCTCCTTTGCTGAGACTACACTCTTCATGAATTTCCAGCTTTTTCCCACTAGCAGCTTGCTTGAGAGGAGTTCAGCGTAATGCACATTGATGACAGTTGAGGATGTCTTATTTGTTTTAATTGCTGCAATGATAAGACACAATCTCTGTAGCTTTTAGAATCTTTACTCAAAATTAGTGCCCAGTTGTTCCAGGTATTTTATATCCAAAGACAGTCTCCTCTTGCACTGCAGACCTCAAATCTCACTGTGACGTGGGAGACTGGACGGGGAGTGAGCAATGCTCTGGTTTCTTTGAGCTGCTTGTGTTTGGGTTGCTTTCTGACGCTCCCGTTCTGCCGGCAGGTTATGGCATCGAGCATGCACAGTGCGTGCCTCCCTCTGAGTTCTCTGAGCCCAGCTTCATCACAGAGTCCTACCAGACCCTCCATCCCATCAGCGCGGAAGAGCTCCTGTCCCTCAAGTACGAGAACGACTATCCCTCGGTCATCCTGCGTGACCCAGTCCAGACAGACTCCCTGCAGACAGACTACTTCACAATCAAGCAAGAAGTAGTAACGCCAGATAACATGTGCATGGGACGTGCCAGTCGAGGTAAAGTTGGGCATCTCCCAGGGTTTGCTTGGGTTTTTGCCACTTCTACGTATACCAACAGCATAAGCCCTGCCTTCCCCTCTGTAGGAGATGTACTTTGGGGGGGACCAAGGCCTTCGGGGTACTGTGCAATGTCAGTAACAAAGCCATATATCTTATGAGGTTGAACTCTCAGATGAATTCCCTGATGGCTTTGAGACCTCCCTGCCTTTCTGTCTGGGGAAAACATGAAGAAGGTCTTTCTTTGCTCTGCTCTGCTGCCTGTTTTTACAACATCTGCAGAAATGTAGCATTTCTGGCTCTGTACTTTGATGTCAAACTTGAGTGAAGTTGAAATAGGCTTTAAGGTTATTAGGGAGGACAGACTGCTGTGTGGCTGTATAAATCTCCTTTTCCTAGGAGACCAGGCAAAACCCCACAAATCCTTCACAAGTTCTCATCAGGAATTGCTGTCCAAGGCTCTGAAAGGTTTTACACTTCATGATCCAAAGTCTTTATCCATTATCTCCATTGTTTTTGATGGTTGTTTGCTGGAACTGATAATCTGTTCTGATGAGCCCAAGCCCTGTGCTTTGTTAGGAGATGCAGGTGTCACAGGTTGAGTCAGCGACAGAGCTGAAGGACCCCCCGAATCCTTGTGCTACAACCCTACGCCTCCAAAGAGTTATAGGTACATGATTCCTGTTTGAGATGATGGGATTTAAACACCTAAACACTTTTGAGGATCTGAGTCCAAATGCCTTTTCAATTAATATTATTAAATTCTGAGCACATGGGGCCCAGATGCCCGACTACTTTGTAATTACATCGCTTAATGCAAGGCTGAGGATCTGGCTCACAGTATATATTCAAAGCAAAAGTTTAATCCATAGAGCTCAAAGTCACTTACAAAGGGGTATCATTATCTCCTGATTCCAGGTAGGGAACCTGAGGCACAGGGAAGAGATCTGACCTGCCTGCCATCGTGCCCTGAATAGAATCCAGGTGTCCCCAGGCCTAAAATTCATTAGAGTAACGTGTTGCTGTGAGCCAGGTTTGATGTTGAACATTTAAACCCATTCATCCAGCTACGAGAGCTGAAGATGGGCTGGTTCCCTGTGCAAGCCGGAGCCCTTTTGCAGGTCTGCGTCGCATATGCCTTGCTCAGTGGAGCTCAATTGTAAGTTTCTCATTCTTTTTGCAAGCTGGGAGAGCTAATGACAGGAAAGTTATTATTTGTATTATTACCTCTACTTCTGCTGCTGGCTGAGTGTTAATATGTGAGAGGTGACTTGGACGATACGGTGAGCCAAAAGGGCAGCAGTGTTATAATTTTAGGTAAACTCCTCTTTCTGGGGTTGTTGTTATGGCTGTCTTTCATCAGTGTCTTTCGCTTTTCTTGCCCTTTTCTTTAACGTAGGTGATTTCTTAATAATTCTCATTGAAATGCAATGATTCAGGCATGCTTTTGCAATTGTACCTTGAGCCCGTTCTCACTGGCAAGCCTAAAAAGGCTCCAGGGGAGGGAAGAAAGGGTCCCTAACTCAGCATTGGGGACCAAGGGCCACTGCTGTTAGCAAACACTTTAACATACTGATTGCAATTGAAGAAATGCAACAGGCTACAGCCGTGCTTACACTAACACTACGTTTCAGCCACGTAGAAGGGTTTTGGGTGGCATTAATCCTCCCAGAGTGGCATAAAGAAGCCTTGATATAAAGCAGAGTCCAACTTATTTTTATTTACATACGTCTTTACCTTCCACTGTATTAAAAGGTTAGTCTGTCGCGAAGTCAAGCGCTTCAGCAGTGGGAAATTCAGGGGGAAGGTTTTCCAGACAGTTGCCTTCTGTCTTTCCTTCTGTGGGCTTTAAGAGTTAATTTTGTGGTCCCATGGGAGTTGTTTCACTCTGCCTTATCAGTGAGGATGTAGCTGGAAAATGTAGCTGCCAAACTCTTAACAAGTTTCTCCTGAGTAGGTGCAAGGCATGATTTTTCCAAAGGCTCATGTTTAGGTTAAATTTAGGTGAATTTTCAATGAAATGACCCAAGTCTCATCTCCGACACTGTGGCTGTTCATCTGGCAGATTTTTAATTCCTTTTCTAAATGAGCTTGTGCCGCAGGACTTCTCAGGGAAGTGGTTATGCCAATTAATGCACATGTACAGAGTGGTGTTAATTTTCCCCTTGCAGGATTCAGGAAGTGATTGAAGTGTTAAATTTTCAAAAACTAAAAGAAAAAAAGAAAACGAGTTGGAAGCATGGATATTACCAGCAAAATCGGGCCAAAGGATCGAAACTTCAGATGATTCTGGGCCAGCAATCAGGGCAGAGCCTGCGGTAGTTGAGTCTTTTCGCAGCAAGTGCTCTTCAAACTACAACACAACAAATATTTGGGGGAGCATGCCAGCGTCCTTCCATGTTCCTGTTCCCCTGGGATTTACTCTCTGGGCCCAAGCTGTGGGTAGCTCTGCCAATGGAAATTTCTCCAGGAGCTCTTGCACAATCCCAGCAGCTGTTTTTAGCCCAGTTTGGGAAATTAGTGAACTTGAATGATCCTGTTACGCTCTTAGTTTGTCAGTAAAGATGTTGAGCAATCGGCAGCGTACAGGAGATCAGAGAGAGCAATTTCAGTTTGTTCTTTGGATCCTTTTTTAGCTCTCTGTTTTAAGTACAGAGGGTATACTTACGCTGTCTCTAGTGGGTGTAAAGCAGCATAGCACTGCTGAGGATCTGGCCTCTCGTGTTCTGGTCTTTACTAAAAATACCCCAGAGAGTAGCCTTGATACAACCCAGCTGTGCTCACCTTACCAGAACTGGAAAAATAGCTGTTTGAGCCCTCAGCCTTTTGCTCTCCTCCTCCATCAAATCTGCTGCTGTTTGGGGATTTGGGGGTGGAAGCTGGTTGTAACATATGGCAATAAAAGGCTGCTGTATAGTTTTGCAGGAAACATCAAAAGTAAAGAAGCTGGGTGTCCAGTGCCCTTGAATATGCCTGATCAGTGTTTACATAGGGCTGGCAGATAGAATATGGGACTTATTGGAGACCCATATCTTTCAGCTGCAAGAGCAAGAGGTCCCGGAGTGTCCATGTTTAGGCACCTGAACTGAGCCTTGAATATCTGTCTAAAGTGGATTATTTTTCTACCATTGCTTTTTGAAACAGAGGACAATTTCCAGTTAGCCCCAGGCATTAGTCTTCGGTAGAGAGTCAGGACTTTGGCTTTTTCCCCTGACTCTCTGCCTTGCTCTACTGCCTGAACGTCTCAGATAGCCCTGCTGTGAATTACATATATAACAAAAGTATCCCAGTTTCAGGCCGTGCTTTTGAGTTTGTTTGGAGATGAGGCGTAGTGTGACAGCATCATTTGCCTGGTTGCCTTCTGCCTGCACAGCTGGTGGGCGAAGCATCCTTCTCCTGGCCGCGGCAAGCTAGAGCATCCCCATGCTGGCCAGGCACATCTCACGTGCCCTTCCTTCTCACCAGGTAAACTGGGCGGCCAGGACTCCTTCGAGAGCATAGAGAGCTACGACAGCTGCGACCGGCTGACGCAGGCCTGGAGCAGCCAGGCCCCCCTCCAGAGGCTGCAGCGCGGCC